TATAATTGATAATTAAAATGATCAGTTTAACAGAGTCCAAAATATTTATTATTATAATTCTCAATTTCTTTGTTACATTAGCAGTATATATGTGGACTAGCTTCTTACGGGCTTAATTATAATTCTCATTCAATTTTTTTATAGAATAAGATAAATAGAACTGACGTATATAAGTAATTTGCGGACTGTTAGATATTGCAGTTTGAAGTTTCCACACAATGGTGTGAAAATTTTCTCCATTCATTCCTAAGAGGTGGTTTTAGTGAATTCAAATCTCACACTGAATCTGAATCTTAATCTTAATCAAAATCCAAGTGTTCAACAAGCAAAATGATTGCGGGGAAAATGAAAGTGAAAAAAATTCGTATATGAATTAAGTGAATTATGACAATATTATATAAAGAAAAGAAATAAAAGAACTTGTTATTGAAATAAATTAGAATATTTTAAAATTATCTTTAAGTAATTTGCAGCGTCTTGCAAGTGAGTACCGAGTGTGGTGTGTTAGTTATAAATTAACAAGTGTAATTAGAAGCATTATATAATAATAAATAAAATTAGCATAAACCACTATTTTTATTTATTTAAAATAGAATTTAAAAATGAAATTAAGTGAATAAAATATATACAAGTGAGTATTTCATCAAATAAATGACATATTTTGATATATAATATTTTATGGTCATTACTATAATAAATAAATAATTGGATATTAAATATAATAGAATAAGATAAATATTTATTAACTTAAGAATGATGTGAAGTATTGCACATAATGTCTAAATAAGAGAATATAATTTTTTTAAATGCATAAAGAATTTTTGTTTGCTTATTAGAGATTAAATTTATAGCGCATTACAGAATAAAAGAATCTCTTCATATTATTCATGAGGTATTATTAAAAGAAATGATCGTGCACTATGACAAGGTATATTGTGCCCATTACTCGGGTTAGAATGTTTCTCCAAGTCCGTTTTCTTTAATGAAAGACAATATAAAGTCCTAGTCTTGAATATTTATGATCCATGAAATACCCTCCTAGGTGTTTATTCCGTTTGTGCATCAGTGGACACTACCCAAGCACATGGTATACAGTTTCTCTCTTCTCTACAGTATCTGCAGTCTGAGTTGGATTGAATTCCTAACTTCGATAGGTGATTATTCAATCTTTAGTGACCGGTCATTAATAAACGCAATAGGTATACCATATACTAAAACATTTTATAAAATAAATAAATAAATAAATAAATAATGAATCTTCTTATCTTCTTTTTACACATATTTTGTAGCCCTAAAAAGGGCTGTTTTGATGAATTTAAAGTTTGATTTTTAAAATTATTTTTTTGCAGCAGTTTTCTTGACTGATGTTTTTTTAACGGCAGTTTTTTTAGGTTTTGCGGCCGCTTTAGCTTTTGTAGAAGTAGACTTTGGTTTAGCTGGCTTAGCCTTAACAGATCCAATCTTTTTAACACTTTTAACTTTAGCTTTCTCAGTTTTTTTCTTTTCAACACTCTTCTTAGCTGCCGCAGATTTTTTAGGTTTTTTCTCTCCAGATACCTTTGCCTTTGACTTTTTAGTACCTGCAGATGATGCAGTAACCTTCTTCTTCGTAACACCTGATGGCACCTTCTTTTTCTTACCCTCGACAGACGATTTAGGAGACTTAGCAGCAGCAGCTGATAATTTAAATGAACCAGATGCACCTTTTCCTTTTGTTTGTATCAATTTGCCATTAGCTACAGCAGTTTTCAAATATTTTTTAATAAATGGAGCCAATTTCTGGGCATCACATTTATATGTGGCACTTATATACTTTTTAATTGCCAACAATGAAGATCCGCTGCGTTCCTTCAAGTTCTTGATAGATGCATCAACCATTTGTTGTGTTGATGGATGAGATGGAGCTGCAGAAGGTTTTTTTACTTTTGTTGCCTTTTTAACAGCAACTTTCTTTTCAGGAACGGCAGTTACCTCCTTTGGAGAATCTGTATTTGCAACGGCAACAGCTTCAGACATATTTGCTTTTTAATATTCCGTAATATTCTTACTTATGAATATTTTTTCGCATTTTTATGGTAGCTTAGCTCACTTTGTACGAAGCGCCGAGAAGAGCGCATTTATAAAAATTTTTCATTAATACATATTTCTACTGAGTTTGAAAAAATTTTTCAACATTTATTATTAATTTTAAATAGACCAAGTAAATTAAACACAATTATTTAAATCAAATTAAGTAAAGAAGATATTGAATATTTTATTACATTCATTTTTATACTAATTATAATTATATAAAATATATAAAAATTGGTTTAAACTTTAAATTTTGTAAATCTATAGTTGAACTTGTTAATAAATTAGAATATTTTAAAGTTATCTTTTGTATAATTTATATATTAAATTATTTATTAAATAGTTTATTCAATTCTCTGTTAAATTATATATATGGTTTTATATATTTCATATATTTATAAATGCAAATTTAATAAAACACGAGATGCATAAAAACGTCAGTTTTAACATTTTGAATGCTTATGTTTTATCCTATTTTGAAATATTAACTCAATTTATATAAAAGTTTAAAATTTTAAAGCACTAATAGAAATAATTATAAATAAATATATTGTATTTTAATTAGAATATAAGATTATCACTTTTAATTATATCAAATAGTGTCTATTTGAGATTAGATATCCATCCATAATGTTAACATGTTACATTGAATTCGTTTACTTTAAAATATGTTTTAAGATTTTCTATACGTATTATTTTTAAAATTTTATTACAAGTTTTAAATAATTTTTAATCATGTGAAAAATTATTATATATAAACGTTATTAATAACATATCAGCAATTAAATTTATAGTTTTCAATATCATTCGAATATAACAACTGTACGTATCCTACTTAATAGAATTCATAAAAAAAAATTATATCTACATACATGATTAAAAATATATAAGAATGAAATCATTTTACTTTTTCTTTTATAATTATAATTTAATCATTTAACTTTGACTATTATAAGTATTTTATTAAATATGTATATTTAAAAAAAATGTTCTTTTTATTACTTTATAATTAAAATAAAATTAAAATTAGATGTGCGTATTCTAACATTTTTATAAGGAGTGATATACGACATAAAATGTTAAAATTTAAGATGAATTTTTTTATAAACTAACATGGATATGGATAACATTTAAATAGATACTGAAGTATATATATAAACTTGCGGCTGCAATCTTCCATAGTCATTCCTAAGAGCTAGTTTTAGTAGGTTCAAGACTCACACAGTGGCTTCGGATGTTTTCCATCTACTGCCATAAATCTTTTATAAAATATAGAATATTTTATAAAACTAATTCAGATACAAATTTTAAAAACTCTACCTTTAAATAATTTATCTATAATAATAAATATTACAATACCAAAATATTGAAATAGTAACTATGATAATAATAGTAAACATTTAGGCCGTGTGCGAGTTCGAGTATATTTAGGGGAAATAGTCAATTATGTCGGTATGGCAGCGATTGTTGGTACATACCAGAATTTCTAATGAGATAAATTAGGTGTTACCATTTTGAAAATTTTATAAGATGTTTAGTAAATAAATAAATAAATTTTAAAACTTTTAAAAGAAAAATAATTATTTTTTATATGTTTCCTTCTTTATATTATGAATATTAATGTTTTTTAATAATTGTATCACATTTATTTAATAATAAATACAAATATTTGGCACAAAATTATTAATTTCTTGATTTCAAAAAGGTAATTATGAAACTTTATGCTATTGACCTGGCAACGTTATTTGTTTTGTACATTTTTATTAGTAACAAATATAATATTAATATTATTGTAACTTAGATTATACTACCTGCGAAGATTTATGTATCTATTTACTGATACGCGAATCTATGATAAATATTAAAAAATTCTTAATAATATAAAGGGTTAGGCGATTGAAGTGTTACAAATTACACAGAGATATGTTTGTCAAACTGATATTGCCAACTACGTCAAATTCATATGAATGACAGCTATTTATATTGTTTACAAATTACCACAAGCATTTGCGTCTAAGTTTTATAGAACTAATATTATTCGAAATGGAATTAATAAATAAGTGTGATTGCATTATATTTGGTTGGAAAATTACAACTAGCTATTGTGCTTGAGCTCAAATATCTCAATGTGAATAAAATGTTTGTGTATCGTACCTTAAATCGTTATAATAGCTCAGGCAGAGTCACCAAATGCTATAGTGGTGGACGAAAAAAAACCAGCAACATTGCCTAAAATGGTTCGGAAAGTGAAGGCTCGACTTAAACGAAATCCACGTCGTAGTACTAATCAAATGGCCAAAGAACCGATAATATCTGAACGAAGCATCTGACGCATTTTCCAAAATAAGCTCAAGGTAAAGCTTTAAAAGTTCCAAGGCACAAGATCTTGCAC